ACTGCACACTGAATAAATTGCTTTATGGAACGAGACACCAAAGGCTCTGCTATGGGAAACTAGGGGTCAAACTGGTCAGGAAACCTGGTCTGACTGTGTGAGTGGGGTGTGCAGGGAGTCAAGGGGGGGGCACCCGTGGGCTCACTGGAGCCTCACCTCCTGCAAAGAGGCTTCAGTCCCGGCAGTGACAGTCTCTGACCTTGGGAGTGTGACTGCCAGAGCCCTGTGAATGGTCAGACTGGGAAGTTTCCTTAACATGTGTAATGAAAGTACCACAAAGGTCTGGTCATTTGTTTTTTAAAGAGTGTGAGAGCCTTAAGGGGTCACTTTTGTAAACAGATCAGATACTGCAAGGCTCTGTGAATTGATGCCTTAATACATTTAAATCTTGGAGTCTGTATGTTAGCATCTTGGTGACATCAGTCAATGCTCTGTAAAGCAGCTTTCCACGTGATATTGCTATTTCAGCACTGCCCCAGTCTTATACCTCCCTTCCTTCACTGTTTAATTAACCAAAAAAAGCTCTGCTGCTCTCTAGCATAACCCCTTGTGCTTCCCCTGAGCATTCAAGGCTGTTTGGCTGCCTTTCTACTGCAATCACACCACACTTTATGTGTACAATCCATTTATGAGATCTGTCCTCTCAGGACCTGTCAACACGGGGAATTTATTGTCAAATAAGCTCAGGTGTGAATTTAATGTGCCATCGTTATTCTTCACTAATTGTTTTTATGTGTTATCTAATTTCACCGAAAAATGCCTTTGAGCTGTTCAACTTAATCCACTTTGGAGGAGTGCAAATTGAGCATTGCAACAGAAATGTTTACATAAATAGCTAGTGCTAAAAAGCTTTTTTCGCACTCTTACCATAAGCCAAACCATTACATGTGCAGTCTGGAAAGCCTCTCATCTAATCCCAGCTCTAAACTAAAGTGATGGATCATAAGACCTACTGAATACAACCTGTCAACCTCACTTTTGTAAGGGTTGTCTACAAGAGGGAGGTCAATCTGGATTATTTGATGGTTTAAACTCAAAGAGGAACATAGTGATGCACTCATCACTATGATGTTCCCTCATAGAGACCTGGGGTCAAATAAAAACCCTCCAACCCTACATTAGTGGAAAAATACAAACATGTTTATTTGTAGGGTTCACAAACACTTGTGATAACAATCTAGGATGGCTGCCCTCACCTATTGTGCAACCATTTGTTCCCTTAGATGTGATTGATGATTTTCACTGTCACATGTCTTAATCAGTTTTATTATTCGATGACAGCACAGTCTGAATATATGATGCATGCATTTGAAGGATGTTGAGGCAGGTTTTTTAGCATCCCTGTTCACTAAAATATTCAGATTTGTAAGAGCAGATATTGTTTTTGAGGTAGAGTTTTTTAATTCAGGACAGGTTTGAGAGCTTTGGCACTGCTCACAAAACCTCATGAGTATGTTTCACTGCTTGCTATCCCATTCCTTCTCATGCCAATGCCAGATTAGGTTTGATGAGTTTTCAAAGCTCTGCTGTTGACACTGATCAGTATCAGCTCTGCTTTTCTTCCATTTTCTATAGGTCCCTTAAGTGCTTAAATTGTGTCTATCTTTCAGACAGCACCAGAGAGATTCAGAAGTGGTGTCTTCAGAATTACATTCATTCTTAGGGCAATATTGTTTTTGTTCTTTCTACTGCTGTTGTTACTAATCTATTCCATATTTACCATTTTGCTTATTTTTATCAGATTAATAAAATGTACTTTTCAAAAATATAAAACCCTGGACTAGATAGGACAGACTAATTATCACAGAAGCACAGAATCATTTAAGTTGGAAAAGACCTGCAGTATCACACAGTCCAACCTTTGACTGATCACCACCTTGTCAACCAGACCATGGCAATAAGTGCCACACACAGTTGTTTCTTGGAATGCCACCAGGGATGGTGACTCCACCACCTCCCTGGGCAGTCTGTTCCAATGCTCGACAGCGCTTTCCAGGAAGAAATACTTCCTGATGTCCAACCTGAACCTCACCTGGAGCAGCTTGAGGCTATTTCCTCTTGTCCTGTCACTGGTTGCCCAGGTGAAGAGGTCAACCCCCTCACCTGGCTAGAACCTCCTTTCAGGGAGCTGCAGGGAGTGATAAGGTCTCCCAGAAGCCTCCTTTCCTTCAGGCTGAACAACCTGTGCTCATTCAGCTGCTCCTGATAGGATTTATTCTCTAGAACCTTCCCCAGTTCTGTTGTCCTTCTTTGGACGTGCTCCAGCACCTCAATGTCTTTCTTGCAGTGAAGGGCCCAGAACTGAACACAGGACTCAAGGTGCTGGGTACAGACCACTGCCTTGCTCCTACTGGCCACACTATTTTTGATACAGACTAGGATGCCATTGGCCTTTTCACCTGGGCACACTGCTGGCTCATGTTCAGCCTGCTGTCAACCAGCACCCCCAGGTCCTTTTCCACTGGGCAGCTTTCCAGCCACTCTGCCCCCAGCCTGTAGTTCTGCATGGGGTTGTTGTGGCTGAACCTATTATTATGATGGACAAGAACTCTTGCACTACATCATTGCTGTTCTTGAAACTTGTCCACTATCATTTCTGTAATTACATACGATGGCAAGACTCAAAATGTTGAATGTGCACTAATCATCTTTTAGCATAGAACACTTCAGGAGAACAGCTGTTAATGACTCTGCTTGTACTTCTTACAGCATGGCAAAATGAACCAATGACTAATTCAACACACCAGGTTTCAAAACCTGCACTTCTTTTCTGTGAAAAAATCTGCAGTATGGGAAGACCAAATCAGCTGAAAAGTGTTGCTTGTAGTAAGAAGCATTGTAACCAGACAGAATATATGCATTTTCCTATCATACTAGCCTTCAAGAAATACAGGGGGAACTGTTTAAAAAGGCAGTTCTGTGAACACCTGCCTTAAGGTGCAGTACCTACAGGCAGGACTGATTCATTGCCACTAGAAAGTCAGTACACTGCAGCACTGAGCACTGCAGCTTTAATCCAACCTGATTATCTGAGGCTTAGTGTGGGAGAGACAAACGATCCCACCACAGGAAAAGCATCACTCAGTTCCTCACTTACGAAACCCCAAAAAACCCAAGGAGGGAATGTAAACAAAACTTTCAGGTGAAATTATGTCCTTGTTTGGAAATACGGTATTTATGATGACCTGAGTTATGGATACGTATAATGCATATTAAGCAATATTAATTACTAATGTGATGTGCTATATTTGGACCAAAGTTCCCCAAATGGAAGGCACTGATGGAGGAACTCCTTTCAGTCTTGTTTAGAGTACTGAGTAATCTTGAAATATTTGAAATAAAGTGGATAGTTTTGGGGGATTTATTTTAGAGGTCTGTATAATTTATGTGTAATTATCTGTCACTGAGAGGAAGAGAGGACATGTAACCACCCATTATGAAAACACAGGATAAGCCCAGGATAGCTATATCTCTTAACTGCCTGTTCTAGTGCCAGTTCATAATAATCCACAAATTTGCTTCACCCAGATCCCATATTCTACAGAAATATTTCATGTCTCATAGCACCTTTAATCTTGTAGGGAAACAAAAGTGTTGAAAAATCCCGTGGACAATGACAGGTGCAACAGAACTGTCCTTACAACAGGCACTCAACTATTTCAAGGCACTTGACATCCATGTATCCGGCTGCTCTTGCTGTTTTCTGGTGGTTTCTGAAAACTGCAGCATCAAAAAATATGAACACTCTTTTAACAGATGCTGGCTTATTCTTCTATACTGTGCCATCATTTAGGAGAAAAAGAACACACACACACACTGGCTACAATGCTCTAAATTTAGAGAACTGCTTAGCATTTAAAGCAGTTGGTTCTGTTTATTATGATTATTTTTAGAAATTCCGTGTTGTATCAGGGGGAAAACTACCTGGAAAAGAAAAAAAATAATTTTTGTATGTATCTTCAAGAATCATATTGTACCTCTAGGCTTTAATATAAGACTTAACACTTTTGAGATAACTTGTCTAAAAAACAAATAGTCATTAAGGTACCATTAACACCTCAATAATTATCCTAAAGCACAACATTTTACCCCTCTTCTGATTCCTTTTTATTGTTATTCTGAATAGCTTCAAATATTCAAACAAATTCTGTGTTATAAAAGGTAGACTGTGTTTTGGCAGGTAGGACATGTCTCTAGGACTCAGAGTATCTGCTCCTAGGTGTTAAGTGAAATTGGTTAGTCATTTCACTCCTTCTTGTCTATACTTCTTGAACTTTGCTGTCTTAAGTGTTGGGGATTTATTTGATCTTGACTTAAGTGTTGTGGATTAACAGTACTGTGGTGGAACATTTTTGTCTAGCCTGTGTGGTGTGCTTTTGAACTTTGTCCAAGTGCCCTTTTTTTTCTTCCCATAAATTCATAAAGAAATTCGTTGGGAACAAGCCCGTGGCTCATTCTCTTGCCTCTACCTTGAGGCATTAAAGAACCCTATATCTCTATATTAAACTCCTAGCCGAGCCTGGGAGCTACAACCTCCTTTCAGGTAGTTGTTTGAGCATGAGTTTGTGGTTGTGTTGTGTCTGGTCCACAGGCACATGTTCAAAGAGCCTACCCTTTGCACTTCCTAGGTGCAAAGAAGGTCCTGGTGAGTGCACTGCAGCTCTTTTGTACCACAGAAGGAGGGTGCAAACCTGGAATGAGGCCATGCCACAGTGAAGACAATGGTGTGTCCAGGCAGTCAACATATGGAATGGGAGTGAGAGGACTGTTGCCTCCTCATCCTGTATCTCTGTACCCAGGGTGAAGACATGATTCATGCTGTTCTTCCCCAGCTCCTTCTTCTGATGAAGCTAAATGTTGAGCCCTTGGGGTGGGTTGAATTTGGCTGGACACCAGGTGCCCACCCATCCACTCTATCACTCCCCTTCCCAGCCGGACAGGGGAGAGAGCAAGATGGAAAATGGGTTGGGATAAGGTAGTTTATTAAAGCAGAAGCAAAGTAAAGTGAAAGATAAGATGATTTATTCTCTACTTCCCATTAGGAGCGACGGTCGGTTACTCCTGAGAAGCAGGGCTTCAGCACACATCATGGTTCCTCAGCAGGCAGCCACTGGAGACAATGAATGCCCCCCTTCCTGCTCCTTGCCTTAGCTTTCATATCTGAGCTGATGTCATAAAGTATGGAATATCCCTTTGGTCAGTTTGGGTCAGTTGGCCTACTCATATCCCCTCCCAGAATCTTGCCCCCGACTGAGGAAGGAATGTTACAGTGCTGATGCTGTGCCAGCCCTGCTCAGCAGTAGCCAAAACACCAGTGTGTTATCAACACCCTTCTAGCTGCCAATGCAAAACACAGTGCTGTGAGGTCTACTGTGGGGAAATGAACTCCAGCTCAGCCAGACCCAATATATCCCTGCTAGGGCTGGCCAGCAATAAGGAATCCATGCTTACCTTTCCTCACAGGGGAATGCCAGATGTTTTTGTTCTGCACCTCGGTGATTCACAGAGACAGCTTCTCCAAAGAGAGCACACTGCACATATGCTCCATCCAGCTGCTAAATGCATTTGTCACAAGGCACAAGGTTTACTAAACTTTTCTGACAGGCTGAGACAGAACAAAAAGTAATGTTCATTAAAACTTACAACCCTTGTGAATAAGCAACCTCATGCTGGTGAATAAAGGAAGTGACAGAGGATTTCACTGAAAACAGGAATCCTTTCACAATGAGAAAATAGAATCTTACTCTGTACAGAAGGAAAACTGGACATATTCCAGTCTGTTGCAGCCAATGAATATAAATGATGGACTATAAAGGAGAGGGACTTATCACTAACACTGAAATTGAAATTTTTTGCTTCCCGAGGAGAATTAATTTAAACCTATATGGAGACCTTTTATAGTCTTGGCCCTTCGAAACAACATGATCAGCTTTCCTTTTTTAGCACCTGGCCCAGTTCTGTGCAGGTTTCTGTGCACAAGTAGTCCTCTCACTGAAGTTAATAGGCCTTTTCACATAATTAGCTATTTGGATTTAGGATTGAACTTCAGGGGTGACTTACCGTAACAGTATGAAAAATAGTTTGCTGCATCAAGCAGAAATTATGCGAAGCTGGGTAAACTCTGATGTCAGTGCAAGAGGGTGTGACTAAATACACCTCACTGCCTTTCTCTGCTTCTTTGATTTGGCTCACAGCCAACAACCCCATTGTAAAGTACAATTCTATTTATTGCTTTCTAAGAAAAACACATATATTTGTACACTGGAAACTGTTCTAAGCTTAGATTCAAAGACACCAGGCACCTACTTGAAATACTAGCTGTCCAGTACCTTTCCAGATGTGCCTCACAGCTTTGCCCCAGTCAGTAAAGTCACACTGTCATCACTCAAGTTCAGGAATTCTCACCTTGTTGCAGGCCCTATCAGTGCTGACTGTAAAGTTGTGAGGATACAACTTTGCAGTACAAATATGGCCAATTCTTAAGCAGCATTTTCTCATGGAGCAGGAAGGAAACAGGAAGGAAGTGGCAGAAGGCAAGAGGGAGAGATGGAATCAATGTTCTGAGGTATAGAGAACCCATAAAAGATGAATTGTTGCAAAAATATGATAATGCAACCCAGTGTCCCCCAAAGCATTTAATCCTTTTTGCCACATTGTGCAGCATGCTGTTACACGTGCACAGGCATACGCAAAATTTCCTTTACTTCATCAGACTGCCTTCATGCCTGTATTTTTATAGTGCACTTGGTTCTGCAAGTTGTGCTTCAGATTGTAAACTAGCGATGCTTTTGTAACTTGTGAACTTCCAAGACTTTAACATGCTGTGAGACTCCTGCCTGTTACCAGCTTGAATTGTTCAAATCCATTATTACTTCTTCACTTAGGAATGTACCTGGTAAAAAAAGTGATTACTATATTAGCACTACGAGGGTGCTTACTATCTTCAGAGCATTTCGGGGCATGCTGCACTCTCCAGCTGCTAGTTTCAGTTTTGGCTGCCCAGCTGGCCACCCCAGAAGGGTAGAGAGAAGAAGAGCTGAGCTGCCACCCCCAGGTCACTAACTCACCTTCTGCGAGGTGAAATCACGTCTCTTGCACGACAATGCCTGTTGTGTTACCTGCTCTGCCTTGGCAGTCAATGGTGTATTTCTCTTCAGGATTCAATGGCCTTAGTCCTCCTTGGGAGTCTCTGGTGATGATCTCTCAGGGCCACTGACTGGGGCTGATTTCCCATTCTGCCTGCTGGTCTGCTCAGCAGTGCTGCTGGAGGGAAGTCAGGCAGCGCTGCTCTGCTGCTGCGTGCTGGAGCAGGTGGGAAGGGAAGGGGCTTTAGGACATCCCTTCCCAAGTCCAGCTGAAGCTCAAGAGGTTTGCTGCCAGTGTTGTTGCAGCACCTACATCACCTGGCAAGGTCTCTAAATTTTCCTGGGTTGAACCTTAGTTTCTGCTCTGCAGGAAACCGTTGGTGAGCGTCGAATTGGTGCTGCCTGTGCTGTTGGATCCTCTTGTTGCTTCTTGTCACAAAGTGCTTTGTCAGACACCAGTGACCACGTCTGCTAGTTATGGGTCTCTGTCACGTTTCTAAGTATCAAGAGAGGCAATCAAATCTATTTCTCAAAATAGGGCTCTGCAAAGCCACAAGTTTCTGCCAACATCAAGACAGGTGCTATCAGTAGGCTGCTCTGACCTGTACTTGGCCCACTGACAATCAGCTGGTCTGACCTCATCTGTGACAAAGTGAGCTAATTCTCCCCAGCTCTTCTAATGTGGGAGCAAATAGCTTGCTGCTGATGTGGAGCATAACTCAAGTCAGGTGCTTTACACCATGCCAAACTTTTTCGCAGTAAAGGTAAAAGAATTGACTGATTTTTAAAGCTTATTTTTCCACATATTTTATTTTCCCAGATAACAGAGCTACTCAGCATTCAGTGTGTCAAGGTGTTGGAGCACGACTTTTCAGGGAGAACAGTCGATGACTAGTTTAAGCTATATTCAGTCAGTTGAACACTCATAAGCTTTGACAAAGGAGAGAAAGGGCTTTTGACAGCCAAATCTTGATTGCTAAAGCAACAATCTAAATTCATTGCTGACTAAGCCCTGGTTGGATTGCTTGGGCTCTGTGATTTATTCTCATTCTATTCATCTAGTATCATTGCTGGAGAAAACTCTGCAAGAAACTGACAGTTTTATGCAAGGCTGGCAGATTTGTCAAAATCTCAAGAAAATTCCGTTACTTGATTTTATTTTAAAAACTTGGTGTCAACTTGTTCTTTTCTTGACACATTTCCCACTTCTCACTTTCATGGAACAAAGGTAGGGTAAAAAGAATTCAATGTTCTGAATATCTTCCCTGTCATGAGAAGGTAATCAGTCTGTTAGATATGATGTTCACACTGATCTGAACAAAGAGGAGGTGCTGAGGCCGCAGTGGAAATGTGTCCATGCTGTCCTGCAGTATTAGCCAACAAGCCATGTCAGCTAATGGCAGATCTTCACCCACAGATCTCTCTCTCACACATATTTACTCAAGGAAAGTACTAACAAATATCGAGGAAAGTACTAATAAGTACTACAGTGGTACTTAATGATAAATTAACACTACATTGCTACTGATGTCAGACACTTCTCCTGTCTTGATTAGCAGTGTGGGAGAGCTGTAACAATTGTAAGACTGACAACTAAACACAGTACATATTTAACTCGCCACAGGGGTAATTTGCATCATGTGAGTAATTGCAGTGGGGATGTTTGACCTGCATTACTATGGAGGTCTTCACAGGGTTTGCAACAATCTCTGTTTTAAAAGGACAGGAAAAAAAATAAGTTCTGGTAATGATAATAAGCGCCAGGGTTGTTAATTTGCAGCGTTCTTAGAAGTAAAAAGCACATGTGAAAACATAAATCTAATCAAACTGAAGCTCTAGAGACTATTTCAGAGAACCATAGTGGCATTATCTAAGAAAAACAGTGTACGCATTTCCCATGACTACAGTTTCAGTCTCTCAGTGCTAACATATTTTATTATGCAATTATTCATCTTCAAGTACAGTAAGAACAATAACACCGTGTTGAAATGGCTGGCTATTAGACCTCTGATCCTAGTTTTTGTAAAAGATCTCCTCACAAATTGGTACATTGTTGTTCATAGCAGCGCTGCCAAATACCAGGGAGAGATGTGAGAACTGCTGCAGAACCACACCAGAAGGCTAAAGGATCATCTTCAAATCCTTTGGGCTTTTTTCTTCATTTAAAATACTTACTCCACGACTACTGGCCAACCTGTGTCAAAGGTTGCCCCTTTTAGTCAGATGCATTAATAAATCTATTTTACTCTAAAAGAAAATAATTAACTAATAGCAACCAATGCATACATCTCTGTTAAACACTGGAATTAGAAGAAAGTTGGAACAATTCTCAGCCCTTGTCAGAAGCAAATCAAGGCAATGGATCCTAATTTTAAAATGCTTAATGAAGCCAAAATTTACTTTCTGACTTTATAAATTAACACCACTTTCTGAACAGGAAACACTTAAATGTCGATTTTTCATGATCTACACCAGGTGGAAGATTACAGCAGCCCTGGAAACTTAACAAATGATATGGAGATGAGCCCATTTAGAAATCTACATGGAGAAGAAGAAAACAGCACATGGTTTAAGTTCAACACAGACAAATGTAAGGTCTTGCACTGAAGAAAACATGATCCAGGAGTGCAGCACAGGCTGGGATTTACCCAGCTGGGGAACAGCTCTATGAAAAGGGGACCTGGTGGTCCTGGTGGACAATAAGCTCAACAGGAGTAAACAGTGTGCTGCTGTGGCAAAGAAAGCCCAGAGAATGCTGGGTTCTGTCAAAAATGCATCACCAGCAGAGATTAAAGAAATCATCATCCCACTCTACTCAGTGTTTTCAGGCCACACCCGGAATATTGTGCTATGTTTTGGTCCCTGCTGGACAAAACAAAAAGAATGTGGACAGACTGGAAAGGGATCAGAGAAGGTCCACAAAGATGATCAAAGGACTGAGAAGCCTGCCATGGAGGAAATGCTGAGAGCTGGGTTTGCACAGCCTGGAGAAAAGAAGGCTTAGGGTAGACCTTATCACCACGTTCCAGTACCTAAAGTGTGTCTACAAAGAAGATGGAGACTCCTTTTATAAAAACACTTGCATGGAAAAGACAAGAGGCAACGGGTGCGAGTTACTTCTGGGGAGATTCCTATTGGACACAGGAGTAAAATTTTTCACAATGAGATCAGCCACTGGAATAATTTCCCCAGAGAAATAGTGTATTCCCCTACACTGGATCCACCTGGACAGGGTGCTGTCTGCCTTTTGACCAGTAATTCATCAAGGCAAGATCGGTCTAGGAAGATCCAGCCCAGTGTTCAAAACCACAGGTAAACTCTCACCTTCTGCTCCCAGCCCTGCACAAGGACCTCAGCAGAGAGGACTACACCAGTGCATCCTATCACCACACAAACCCCTAAGGATAGCAGTGGGAACTAGGGGCTATCTATTCATCAGGAAACTGAACTGCACCTTTTCTTTGCAATACTGTCTTTACAACACCCTTTTAGTACAAAGTAGTTGAGTTTGTCCCAGAAACTGGGGAAGAGAGGAACTGCCTGGCTACAGAGTCTGCAGGCATGATGGGAACAAAGCTGTGACTTCCCTTCCCCTCCAGAGCCCCAGTCATTCAGTTACTCATCACTAACCTCAGTTCTGTCCCTGGCATACTTCAAGGCAATGCAAAAATACATATCCTTTTTCTTTCCAGGGAAGGCAACAGTTGGTGTTCCCAGGCTACTGATTTCTTGTGTGCCTAAGTCAAAAGGGTTATTGCTTCTTCCCACTCCTCCACTTCCTAACAACTATTGACAATCTTCTCCTGCTATTGCAAGGTTTCTCATTTTGCTCTTTGCCTCATTACCTCTCACTGGTGTAGAGGCCTGCAATTCTATGTTTACCCTGAACAGTGAATATAACAAAACTCACCCCGACTTTCTCAACATCGTAGTATCATTTCCCCTCTCTGCATGTTTATTCCAGGCATCCAGACAGGCTGGATTTGCAAGTATACAGCTGCACTCCAAGTATTGAAAGCGTTTCTTGAACTCTGCATTAGCACCAGCAGTTCCAGACATGGCTTCTACCACCAGACACAGCAGCAAAATCAATGCAATACAAAAGCAACACAAAAATACACAAAAAGATACCAAGGCAGGACTGCTAGGCCCCATAAAGGGCCTGCCTGAGCTCTAACACCTTAGCATGTTTAGAAATAAGGGTAAGTTTAAAAAGCTTGGAGTGTAAAAGGAATCTACTCTGCAAGAAAAATACTTTGGAGACTCTGTTCTCTGCCCTAATCCCTATACAATTGATGGTGCTACTTAAATTTTGACATTATAATATATAAGAATTTGTTCTAGACTGATGCTGACAGGCTTCAGTTTTGTGGGACTGCATTGCATTCTATTTATCTATACACTGAGTTTTCTCAAACACCGCCCTAACCTCGAGGGATTATATGGGTGGGTTCCTGTGGTACTGGTACCAGCTACTTACCTCAGATCATCAAGACAATACAAAACAAAAAAAAAGGCAAAAAAATTACAATACTCTTTTGAAATAATTTACGTTATTCCTTTCTGCTACCTTAAAAGGCAATATGAAGTAAAAGAAAACACGCTGCATGAAGACATGCGAACAGTCAGGAGCCCCATTCAGAGTTTCAAGGTTTTTCATTTTTGACAGTTCCCTGTGCTACCAGTGTCCCTGTAGCAGCACAGTGTATTAGCCTGGGGATTTGGCTTTCTTCCAGCAGGAAAACAAAAGGGGAAGAGGAGTCACACTTCCTTATGCCTCCGAGGCACAGCCAAACACCAAGTACTTGGCTTTCTGAGCATTCAGGCATTCAAAAGGTATGCTTGCACTTAGTCTGTTTTCCAGGCTGACCAATAGGCAGCTCCCACTGTTAGGAATACCAATATATGAGAAAATCTGTAA